TAGTACACAGATCTGAAATCAGCAAAGGAGTCCTGGATTACTTAGCAGAATTTTTGTCTCATTACAGCACGCTACTGTCAGCATTTTAAATACACTGAGTCACAAAGCCCCTCTCCTCTCTCCTCCCAGAGGGCATCCTCAGTCCTCCCCAGGAAATAGAGCGTTGGAAAGCCCGCTATTGACCGAAGAGGAAATGGGGCCTCAGAGGGACAGCAGGGTCCCCCTTGAGTTCTAGGGTACCAGGCCCAGTGGGAGTGGAGGTGGACTGGAGGCACCAGTCCTGAAGAGTCCTCTAGAGTGCCTGCCACTGGCCTGGGTTGCAGAGACTCAGGGAGGAAGGAAACAGCCCTCTCCTGGGAGGGGAAGGGCCTCTGGTGTGGCCAAGCCCAGGTGCTATTTAGGAAAGCGTCTACCTGGGTGTGGGGTTGGGCTGTGGGAGGCGAGGGTCTGAGCGCCTAGGGGAAGGGGACAGACCAAGACGCTGGCTCAGGCAGCCCTGTGCTGGAGGAGGGGACACTCCTGGAGCTGACCCACCCAGAGGCAGGTCACAGTCCTCACCCTCCCCAGCCACAGACTAGGCATTGAGTCCCTGCAGCTCTGAAAGAAAACTGGACATTTCGCAGATGGGAGCCGTGAGGCCCACCGAGGGGAAGAGATTGCCAAAGGCCCAGCAAGTGTTGGCAGGCCTTCTTTTTCTCTTAGCAACAGTGACAGCTCACGGGGACAGAGCACCCCCCCCAATGTGGTAGGCCTCTGATAAGCACTTTCCACAGCCCCCGGGAGAAGGACACTTTTTTTCCCCCCTGTACAGATGAAAGTGAGGCTCGGAATGCTTTGTGACTCTTCCTGAACTACTGTGAATGGAGGAGGAAGACAAACTCAGTCAGGGAACCCAAGCTCCTTCCCAGCCTGCCAGCCTTTTAGAAGGTTCTCCAGAGTGCACTTCTCCCTGTCTGGCACTGTTGTGGAGTCTGCACCCTTTCCCAGGCACAGGAACTCCCTGGAATCACACTGCCCTTGATAGCTCTCCGGCCCACCCTGGAGACAGAACCAAGACCAAACTTGGGGGGCACTGCTACATGAACCCCCCGACAGATGCCCTACCAGCAAAGGAGCTGGCTATACAGGCCTGAGGCTGGGACCCTGTACCCAGCTCTGGGCCAGGCAGGGGAGGGGAGTATCCTCACCTTCCACTTCCTCCCCCTGCCTTAGACACACTGGGATGCTCTTAGGTGAGGTTGTTTGTCCACCCCTGCAGCAGAAGAGAGAGAAGAGATGGCTTTCTCTCCAGCCAAGGAGCAGGCGAATGGGGAGGTCGGAGAGTGTGGGTGTCCAGGTGGGTGGTGGGAGCCCTCCTTCCTCGGCTGAGTTGGTGGGGCAGAGGGAGCAGGCTGGGTGTCGGTGGAAGTTGACTACCAGCCACGCAGTTCTGTAAGTCTTGATCTGCCCCAGAATGGGACGGGAAGGGACTGTGCACGCCTGGTGAAGAGGGTGTGCAGGAGGCAGGGCATGGGACCCTCCAGGACCGTCCATCTGAAGTGGGAACGGCAACCTTCTGTCTGATACCAAGCCACCCGCTTGTCTGAGAAGTCGCCGCGCAGATGTCGAGGAATCGGACCAGGAGCCTGTCCAGAAACGTAGCTCCTAGGAAGCGGCCCGTTGAGCCAGGGGAGCAGGACTGCAGCTGCCACACAGATGTGCGCAGGAAACTGCGCGGCACCTCCGCGGTTGGAAGGACGCAGGCGCCTACTAGCGGTGGCTCCCGCCATGGCTCCGGCACAGGCGGCCCCGCGACCCCCAGCTGGGGGCTCAAAGGGCCAGAAACCCGGGTCCCTCGGTTCTGGTGATCCGTCAGCTACTGCTGCTTTCCGGAGGGCTGGAGCTGCGCCCGGTCTTGTGCCAGGTCCCGGGGCCCATAAAAGTCCCATTCCCTGGAAACCCGTTCGAAAACTAGCCATAGGGTAAGGAAAAAGGCGAAGAAAAATCAGAGGAGGGACAAGGACAGGGTTAGCATACAAACAGAAACTGTTCCATGAATGGAACTTACAAACCCTAGAGACAGCAGTTAGTGGGCACACAGCCGCTTGCTCCAGGACAGCATGGGTGGCCCGCCCAGGCCCCTACCCGGCCGCAGCGAGGTTGGCTTTCCCCTGGGAAGCTCCCAGAGCCGGCGCGAGTCGAGGCCCAGTCCCTCGATTTCCTCAGATTCTGCAGCTCCTCTCAGCCCTTCGGAGGGCGCGCGGTCCTTGGCCTCGGGCTACAACTCGAAAACTCCGAGAAGTGAGCTCTCCTGAAAGGTCCAGTAAGGAACACTCCCCATCCCTGCTTCCACGATGACCTGAGAAGCTGGCACAAGCCCAGCGAGGGGTACCGGTGGCTCTCCGGGTTGCTGAGGCTGGGCCGGAGCCAGTCCTCCTTGGCGTGCACTCAGGGCCTGATTTCGTTTGGCGACGTGGAAATGGCGCGCGCTGGGCAGAAGGTGAGATGCAGGACGAGATCTTGCCGCCGCCCTGGAATCCTAAATTGCTTTGCTCCCCACCCTTGGAATTCGCTGCTCTGCACCTGTTGAACGCGGAGGGCAACGAAAACCCAGCCCAGTCTCTAATGCGCGGGAGAATCGGCACGCGTTCGTTCTCCTGAGTCCAGGGAGCGCATCTGGATCGAAGATTCCCAGCGCATGGGCGTTTGATCCTTCCCGTTCCCCTTCCGAGCTCGCCTGGTCTGGGAAGCAGGAGAGGAGAGGAGAGGGTTGTTTGTAGTGAAGCCAGGAGTGCAGCAGCGGCCCCCAGCCAGGCAGCAGGCAGGTGCCCAGCAGAGCTGTGCGCGGCCCTGCAGCGCATGTGCCAAGAAGACGTGGGCTTGGACTCCCAGGGGCCACTTGTCACCCACGTGGAGAATGAGAATTCTCTCTTTGGAATCCAGGGTCCTTGGCATAACAGCCCCTTCGCAGTCTTCTGCTTCCCTTCGTCCCCTTCCACAATGCAGGACAGTGGTTACATGCATGGAGGGGGAAGAAAAAAAAACCCGACAGTCGTTACATGCGTGGCAAAAAAATCCGGAAAGCACGCGTTTTGAAGGCCTCTCCACATTTTCAAAGAGTCACCACGAAGACAGATGCTTCCCTCGAGGCCTGCACGATCCGAATCTCGTTTAGAGGAGAGGGCAGAGAGGAACAGGGTGGTCCAGCCCAGCTGGATGCAGGCCCGTGGGAGGCTCCCTTCCGTCTGCCCCAGGTTGGCTCAGGGACCACACCGAAGCCGGACCCGAGGCGCCGGGCTGGGCATAGGGCATGCCTGGCGCGTAGGAGGCTCTGGGGTCAACGGGGCGGAGGGAGCGAGAGAACTCTTTGGGGCGGCTTCCTGAGCGGTGTCACCGGCCTGGGGCCCCCGCAGGGCCCAGCTGAGGGTCCCAGCGTCACCAGCCCAAAGCAGTCTGAGCTCTGGAAGCCCCGCGGCTGCTGGAAGGGAGGAGAAGGAAGGGTAGCGGCCCCGTCCGAGAGGGAGAAGCGACCCTGGAGACAGCGGCCGGGGAGCTTTCCACACCCATTTCTACCACCTGCCCTGGCTGCTCCCAACTCGGGACCCGGGCGAGCGCGTAG